TGATGGAGAGTGTGCGGTGTGCCCTCCTGACACCTTCAGATCCCACCCCAGCCACATCCAGTACTGTCAGCACTGCACACAATGCGAGAACCGTAAGTGTGTGTCCCTGAAGAGCCCTGCCCGTGAGCCCTGTGGTCTGCCTGCCTGCCTGCCTGTCCCCTAGAACCGTTGGGAACCTTGCAGGGCCATGCTGCCAACTGGGGCGGGAGGAGAGACGAGGGGTGACGTTACCAGGATGGCATGATTGTATGGTGGCTACAGACTCCGCCCAGAAACAGAAACCAAAACTCCTCCAGACTCTGCCGTCCAGTCAGTGCCGACTAATGCGGCCCCATCAGCCCGGGTGCAACTGCAACGCTCCAAGACTCTGCTCTTCATGAGAGTAGGAGCCCCGTCTCCCGAGGAGCGCCTGGGGTTTGAACTGCTGACCTTGCAGGTAGCAGCCCAACAGGTGCCCACTGCACCAGGAGGGCTCCTCTCAGACCTGGCCCAGAGGGTTTTCCAGGCTCTTAAAGCAGAATTGCTCTAGGCAAGAATCCCTCTCTCAAGTACAATGGAACGTTTGTAGCTTCTGGTGGTTTGAACCACGGACAGTGTTCTGACAAGACTGTCGGTAAGGACAGAGGGAGTGCGTGTCCTGAGGCCACACTTCAGCCGCTCTGTTGACAAAGGTGCGCTCCACCAGCTGTGAGTCCAGCCCAGGATGGCCACGGAGCCAGTGGCAGATCTCCCCCCACCCTGCACCTGGGTGCACAAACATGGGGAGCTCTAGACAAGGAACGGGGCAGCAGCTAGGTGGGCACCGGGCAGCCTCATGCCCAGTGAGCCCCCTACCCTGCAGACGAGCTCACCTGACACCGGCTGACAGGCCCCCAGCTTCTCCCTGATGCCAGGTGGCAGGGACAGGTGTTGTCCCATGGGTACAGAGGCAGAGCGATGAGCGCTAGTGCGGGGTCCTCTGTGTCCTGCCCTGAGCTGGGCCTTCCTCCTTCCCCCACAGGACAAGAGATGGTGGCTGACTGCAATGCGACCAGTGACCGGAAGTGCCAGTGTGCGGCGGGCTTCTTCTGCGCCCAGGAGCACTGTGAGGAGTGTGACGAGTGTTCCAGGTTCTGGCCTCAGGAGGGTCCGGGCTGGCCGCAGGGCTCATTTCACAGTGGGTGACTCAATGTCCCCCTGAACCTTTGCACCTGAGTTTTTAGCCTGGGATCCGGGCATCAGAGGGTAGGGATGGCACCTGACTCCTCAGATGTCACCAGAGGGAGGGGAGTCAACATCAGCTGCCCAGGGCCCATTCCTAGGAGGTCAGACAGGCCTCCACCCTGCAATCTTCTCTACTAATTCTGACATCTCCACCTCCCCCCACCCCACCCCACTCACATGCCCACACGCAGCATGCCTCTTCTCTGCTGGGGGGATCCTTCATACAGCTAATCCACACACACAGGCAGTCCTCAGAACTACGGGGATGACCTGGGAGATTCCAATTCAGGATAAGGACAATTCCAGTTACAGTTCACCATGCTCAGCCAGCCCAGGAGCCACCACATTCCACCAGCAAATGTCCCCATATGGAGCTTTCTGGCTCTTTGGTGGGAAGCGCACTGGCACTCCCCTGT